GAGCGTCTTTGGAGGTGTTGGTGGAGTGGTCGAGACATACCTAGCCTATCAGGATCTCAAGATCCTGGCGAGAAGGCCTGCCGACCTCGACTACATCTATTATTCGCTCGTGACCGGTGGGCTTCGCTGGGGTGACGAGAGGGTTCAGCTTATAGAGCTGACCGTTCGATAGACGACGAGTGGCCCCAGTCTCCGTGCGTTTGGGATTGGCTAGACCGTGAGCTCCGAGCCGGCTCTGAGTAAGTGACCTGCATTGGGCGGCTCTTCTAAGACGACAGGGGGAGCTGGTGGAGTGAGGATGCCGAGCGACCACTGATATACGGCCATCAGTTGGCGGAGTACTACCAGGCTATAGGACAGGCCCCATACCGCGTCGAGGACGAGTTTGACGACGAGGGTTGGGAGCGAGAGGACGACGAGGACGCTTGGGAGCCAGACAGGGTCGTCCGAGAGGGTGAGGTTGAGGAGGAGGAGATCGACGTTACGGACGCCCACTTCCCCAGGATAGGAGGAGCCGTCCGGGCGTAGGAGGCAGAGGAGCACATTAGAGCGGCGGTTGAGTGAGCTTAGCTATTGATATCGGCGAGAGCGGATCGATGATAGAGCAGGCCAATGGAGTGGAGCTTCAGATCGACGACGCTAGATGGCCTAGACCTCCAGAGGCAGTAGCGCCAGGCAAGGTGGCGCTGGAGCTGCCCGCCAGAGGGGTTTCCGCGGATGCGATAGAGAGCCGATGGTCATCGACGGTGTTGGGCCCAGACGTACACTTGTGGACGTATGTCATCGAGACGTTTGACCTAGAGAGTCTGAGGTGGCGACGACCAGGCACGACTAGCATAGAGGTAGTGGGCCACATTTACTACTCACGGGAGGTGCTAGCCACAGTCTATTTTCACGGCATCGTTCACGATCATTGGCGAGAGAAGCAGAGCGCGAAGAGGATTTTACTGGCCCGAGCAGACTCTGCGCGGGGCGAGGTAGAGCGGCTGCACGGGGGTGTTCGAGGAGTGACGACGACCTTGAGGATTGGAGGACACTTCCCATATCCTAGTAGTCGACTGCGTGTGACACTTTCGTGCTTCATGGCAGAGGAGCTTTGGGGACTTGGACGTCTGGGTGAGGTCTACTTTGTGGCTCTCGACTTGGACGGCCTTTGCCGAGGGTACGCTGACAGGGACTGGGTGCTGTATGCGCAGTTTGTAGCGGGGCCGCTTGTAGGCGAGTGAGGGCTCCAGTTGATTGAGTTCCTGCGGGCCATTGTACCTACCGGGAGCCCAGACCTGTATTCTCTGTACCAGCCCCTAGCCTTCTAGACGGCGCTAGAGAGAGAAGCTCGGAGGCCAACTGATCATTTAGCTGGTGTGGAACAACTGCTAGCCGAAACTCGTGAGGAGAGGCCGGGCCATCTCATCTCGACCGAGGAGGTTGAGGAGTATTACCAGCAGGTATATCCAGAGGCTAACGATCTTGCGTGGTACGCCGAGGATCAGGATTGGGAGGACTTCGATGACATAGACCCTTGGGGCGACCAGGACATGGACTGGGGAGATCTGGCGCGGGCTGAGCGACAGGAGCAGGTGGGTGCAGAGGCGCCGCAGGAGGACGGTTGGGGTCATCTCCTTCAAGCCGAGGGGCAGGAGGACATCCCATGGGGACAGAGGGTAGATGAGGACACAGATGAGAATATGTCAGATGCATGAGACGACTAGAGGCAGGACATATCCGAGTGAGGTTTAGAGAAGGGAGTAGTGGAGAGTATGGCAGACCGGGATATACTGAAGGTGACTCTTTCCCTGCGACGAGATAGGACCGGTGGTTGGGAAGGAGAGGCGTTAGAGATTGTTGAGCGACAGATCGGACTCATGACGGAACATGCCCTGGAGATACGGAGGAGCCAGAGGTACGTTGAGTTTATTATCTACTTCCATGGAGCAGACGGGAGAGCACGCAGCACCTACTCGACCATACTGAACCTGAGTAGGAGAGTTGTCTAAGGAGTTCTGAGGAGTTAGCAACTTCGAGAGATAGGGTGCATCGGAGGGAGTAGAGTGATGCTGATCGAGAGTCGGAGGCGGGATGAGGAGTGACTCGGTAGCCTGGTTAGCCTATGTCCTCTCACGTGAGTCCGAATCGTATAGCGTGAGGAAGCTTGTGAGACCCAGAGAGACGGCGGTTGGGTACGACATTCCTCTTCCCGTGGCGTTAGAGGGGACAGGGCGTGTTCCGATACGATAATTGGGAACGTGGCTCGCAGAGGGACTCTTCCTTTGGACAGTGATAATACGAGACGAACGACCCGAGAGGACTCATGATCTAGAAGGGGTCGGACATCTGATAGCGGATAGAGCACACGATTCAGAGATAGGACTGACACTTGTAGGGGCAAGCAAGGCTTGGTGGAGAAGCGAGTCGTTGGCCAGAGTGATCGTTAACCAGCAACTAGCGAGACTCTCTCGAGGGAGGACGCGCTGGAGTCGCTTGGTATACGGTCCTCCGCACCCGACCCTCCACCCGAGAGAGGATTGGCGATTCGGACCTCCTGCCTTCGTGATAGGGCAGACCTATGGGAGTATAGAACGTCTGAGTAGAGCAGTGGACCACACACTTTACGCGCTCTGGGAGGGCTAAGCGCCCCGTTTCAGGGAAGTATACTACGCCATTTGTGTGAGGTGGGGACCACCCTGTAGAGAGACGCTTGACGACATCACAGACGTTACTAGCTGGGTGGACTGTCTAAGGCCAGTCGATCTGATTAGGTACTGCAGGAAATGAGCAGAGATCGAGTACGTGGGGCTTGACGACATCACAGACGTTACTAGCTGGGTGGACTGTCTAAGGCCACTCCTTAGGGAATGCCGGGGAGGACGGCCACAGTGATGCGTGTAGGAGAGCAACTGGTAAGCACAGGGTACACTGTGTCAGTACTTCTCCGAGCGTACGTAGAAGAGGACTTGACGGCGGGGGAGTGTTGGCAACGAGCTAGAGATTTGATCCACGAGCATAGAGCTGATGTACTGGCGCGGGTGACCTTCCAGACCTCAATTTCCTATGAGGTGATGATATGGTCACATGGCTATATGCGTGCGCAGCACTTCCACAACGAGGCGGTAGCGGAGGCTAGAGCAAGGGTGACAGGATGAGCTGGAAAAATAAATGAAGACTGAGTATGGAAGAGGAGAGTGATGCAGTCGGAAGAGTGAGAGAGCGCATTAAAGAACCGCTCTTGAACCAGGTAAAGGAGTTGGGGAACAAGTTAAGGGAGATCTGGTCGTGCCAGGATGAGAGCAAGTTGCGTAGGGCTGAGCTCGTGACGAGAAAGTTGGAGAGTGTGTTTAGGGAGGAAAGAGAGATTATCCAGGCGTGGAAATCGGACTTTTTGGGGAGGGTAAAGGCTAGAAGCGTATCACGCGAAGGAACTAGTGAGAGGTCTGCAGATGGCGTGACGCCGGAGGACGAGGTAACGCAGGGAGGTAGCGACAGGACATGAGCGGGACTACACTACACACGACGGATCGGTACTCATTGCATGTGGTAGGGAAATTGGACGGACCATTGGTGTTAGTGATCCTAGAGTTCCAGCTCCATACCTGACTGTGCATAGTTGAGGAGGTAGAGTGTGTCCGCCGTGTGCTGCGTGAGGCCTGGGGGACAGGACTTTGGATTGGAATAGAAGGAGGACGGAGGATAGAATACGTACTCCGAATGACACCTTCGAAGGGCGGCCGCGGATAAGGGCATGGTAYGAGACGACCAGAGAGGCTGAGAGGTTGAAGATAAGCGAAGCCAGGAAAGCTGGAGAGTTAGGGAGAGTTGTAACAGACGGTGCCATACTCAGGGTGCTAGCCGCTCACGATCAGTACTGGAGGAAGGCGATAAAGACTTTAGAGGCCATAGAGGATAGTGGGGATAAGGAGGACCTTGAGACATTCTATGACATTTTGGAGCTGTCGGCGATGAAGTTACGAATGGCTATAGCACTGACTTACCTCAGGTGCTAGACAGATCACCTCATAGCTGCTTGGGAGTTGAAGGAGGAGAAATAGAGGTTGGAAGCTCTTGGAAAGAAAGTACAGGTCAGAAAGGTCGGCGAGCGACTTTGGATGGCAGTAGGAGGAGAGCTTCCACCTTCAGCACGCTACCCGATTCAAGACGGGGTAGGAGATCTAGCAAGGAGGGCGGAGTTAGACGCTCGGAGGCTCTTGAGGGGTGTTCATCAGGAGACATTGGCTAGGCTTGGGACTGCGATCTGCCGCAGGTGTAGAGATCCTGTCATGGGTATACTGCAGATCCGGAGAGGCGCGGCCTTGTTGGCCGATCCCAAAGGGGAGGCCTACCTAGACACAGGGATTCTTGGGATAGAGGGAGAGCACGAGATCCGCGACCGGAACCGAGTACTGGTGGTAGTGATCAGGGTAGTCGAGAGCTAGGGTTGGTGACGAGCGTGATCCGTGACAAGGAAACAGGTCCGGGCTGCAAGTTCTGTCACTGGTCCGGGCTGCGAGTTCTGAAACTGGTCCGGGCTGCGAGTTCCGTCACAGGTCCGGGCTGCAGCAACTGTCATAAGTCCGGGCTGTAACACCCGGCGAGAGTGCCTAACTGCGTCTTCTAGTGGCCTATGGAACCAAACACGATGGGGCCACAACCGACCACGGCCGAGATAGGAGAGGAGTACAGGACATCGCCCTACCGAGCTCTGAGGGATCTGAAAGAACGAATTAGGCGGGACGCACCGCTGAGATGGGCTGACCAAACCAATGACGGAGAGCCCGACGTAATGGGCGAGCCGGTCGTGACGGAGCCGCAGGAGGCACTGAAGACGGGAACCTCGAGCGGTCGACGAGAAGCGTCGAGACGACACTCCCCCGAGTATGAGCGGAGGGAGACCATGGCAGATAGGCACAGAGACGACTGGCGAGAGAGTTCGAGGGATTCCTATTGTAAGGACAGAGATAGAGACAGAGCGCCGCCTAGACGAGTCTTTGACCCTCAGACAGGGAAGTCGCATCCGGTCCCTTACGAGAGCAAGGACCGCTATATTATTACGCACAAGGCCTCTGAGCCACCTACTTTTACGGGTTATGGCATCACATAATATATGGAGAAGTGGGAGTTTCATGCAAGTCGGAGTCAGTGGTCAGAGGAAGAGATTATAGAGAACTTCCTATTTAATGTGGACCCAAGTCYCGGTAGGGAAGTTAAGGAAGCTCGACCGAAGGATGGGAAATGGACTACGTACAAGAAGAACCTCGTTGAGCTTTACAAATTGGAGGATAACAAGTACTCCATCAAGGACCTTGAGACGATGACTCAAGATGAACATGAGAGCGTACGGGCATTTGGGATGCGTTTCCAGAAGATCTCCGACGTGCTGATGAAGAAGGGGAAGATCTCAGAGGTCGAGCGCTGTGCTATCTTCATCGGACACCTGTCCAAAGGTAGACAAAAGAGTATACTTATAGATCTTCCGCGTGACAAGCTTGACTTCCCAGAAGTCCTAAAGCTCGCGATAAAGGCAGAGGCAGATGACTACAAGGACTTGGTGTGGAGAGGGATGAGGAGACGTGACTTTTCCCTCTACAAGGAGCATGCCACCGATAGATGTCGGTGATTTTAAGGACCATCCCTGGTCGGAGAAAAATGAAGTCGTGGCCGAAGAAGTGAAGGAGATAAGGGACATGGTAAAAGGATTGACAAAACAGGTTACAGAAATTGTAACCACCACAGGAGCTACTGCATACCGGGACAAGCCCGGAGGGCCATATTCACTTTGCTGGGACCGGAGGAACACTGGTTCCTGGAGGAGTGTTGAGGATAGGAATCCTCGAACACTGACTAATTATCGTACGAGGGAAAGGGAGAGAGACGATGAGCCATAGCGACGTAGGGATGATGAGATAGACCGGGACCGCAGGACTCGCGAGATGTATGGGCGTGCTAGGAGACTGGATGACTACTCGCGTAGCCCTCGCTATAAGCCTGACGGGGGTAGAGGCGACTCTCGAGGCCGGTGGGAGTCGGATCAGGACCGGCGAGACGGATACAGGGATGGCAGATATGCGAGATCGGACCGAGATGGATATAGGGACGACAGATATGAGAGATCGGACCGAGATGGACATAGAGGCGACAAATATGAGAGGAAGGATCGAGACGGATACAAGGGCGGCAGATATGAGAGAGGAGATCGACCCGATGATTCACGCGGGCGATACGACCGAGGAGACCGACGTGATGATGCACGCGGGCGATACGACCGAGGGAATCGGCCCGTTGATTCACGCGGGCGGTACGACCGAGGAGACCGACGTCATGATTCACGCGGGCGATACGACCGAGAAGACCGACGCGATGATTCACGCGGGCAATACGAATACGGAGACCGCCGCAATGATTCGCGCGGCAGGAATGAGAGAGGGGGATATGGCGCTTCGGCTGACCCGTATCCRAAGTCCCCTGACCCSAGAGCARCSAGRGGTTCGACYTCYAGRRGCGYAGACGACAGGCCACCCACACCCACGAACTCTTGCGTTTACTGCAGGGGGGATGATCATATCAAGAGAGATTGCCCGGATCTCAAACGAGCAATAGATGAAGGCCTTGTCGTGCTTGATGACCGCAAGTACGTCAAATGGGCAGATGATCTGGGAGACGTATCGATGTTCCCCTCGATGAAGGAGAATATCGAAGCAAGGAGAATAAAGCCGAGTAAAGGAAAGGAGCCGGTTAGGAGCCAGAGCATCAAGATAACTTTTGAAGGAGATATGGCGACCACACCCATAAGGGTGGCAGCTACCAAGTCCGCGAGAGGATCTACATCGAAGAAGACCGACACGGATTACGTGATGGCGGAGAAGGACGGCGGGCAGCGGATCGATGGAGAGGAGGTTATTCTTTCGCCGCGAAAGCGGGGAGTAAAGAAGTTCTTGATGAAGAGTTCACTGGATGAGATTGACACGTTCGAGCCACTGAGACGGGCCCTTCGGCAGCCCATGCAGTGCTTTATTCTAGAGCACCTGGCGCCATCGAAGCCAGCTCCCGATGAGTTACAGATGATCACACGGAAGACTCGCATACCTTTATTAGAGGAGGCTCAGGGGGGCCCTAAGGCGGAAGCTCCTACAGTAGCAGTAACGGGGGTGACTGCCAGAGCGGATCGCATGGCGACAGTCCTTCTTGATGGGATGGAAGGTGTGCCACCAGACAAGTTTTACATACTTGCTAGTGGGGCCGTGGAGACGATCATAAACAATAGAGCGGTACTAGATGCTGTGATCGATAACGGCAGTGAGGCTGTCATTATAGACGAGGATCTGGCAGTACAGATTGGACTGGACCTCGATAGGTCATACCTATTCGAGATAGAGACTGCTGATGGGAGAAAGCAACAGATCACTGGGGTTTATCACAAGGCAGCCATAGAGGTCCAAGGGGTACGAGTGACCCTGCCTGTCTTTGCAGTCAAGAACTGCAGCTCCGATCTGCTCTTGGGACGAATGTGGCTGAGCCACGTGCATGCTGTGACGATAGAGCGACCAGATGGAAGCCAGACATTGTCCATTAAGAAGCTAGATGGGATGCGGGTTATGATTGAGACGGTGGAGCCTCGGGACCCGAGGAACAGAGCAGCTCTCGCAGTGGGAGCAAGACCCAGTGATGAGATTAAGTCATTACCTATCTCTGGCCGCGCGGTGCGATTTTGTGCGAAGAACTATGGACCACTGCTCACAGAGGAAGAAGGTCGGATCGTGGAAGTGGAAGACTTGGGGAGTCGGCTGATAGTGGACGGCAACTCGTACCCAAAGGAGACAGAAGAGGAATTTGGCGGGGTGGTATCTGTGTCTTTTTAAAGGGCACGGCCCCCTATGGGGGGTTACCCAAGCGACACAAGCGAGTAGCTCAAAAAGTTAAGCCAGCGGCGGTGGGCCGCGACCGATCTGCACTGGAAGGGATATCGGAAGAAGAGATCGCCAAAGAAATCAAAGAAAGAAAGAAAAAGGAGCCGCAACGCCTAACGGAAGAAAGAATAGCAGGGATGGACATCGGAGATGAAAATCTAACCCCACAGGAGCAGGAACGTGTGATAGAAGTCCTGAAGACATACGATAAGGCTATAGCTATCAGTGACGCGGAGCGCGGTAGGGTTGACCCTCGATACACTAAGCCAGCAAGGATTTACACGATTCCACATGTTCCTTGGAATGACGCAAGATGGAAATACGCCCAGAAGGAGAAGGAAGAAGTTATCGCTTTTCTGAAAGAAAAGATGGTTTCCCATGTAGCGGAGCCATCTGATAGCGCTTATGCTAATCGATGGTTCTTCCTACGAAAGCCGAATGGCAAGATCCAATGGATCCAGGACCTTCAGAAGGTCAACGCGGTGACGATACGAGACGTGGGCTCCGTGCCACACGCCGATTTACTAGCAGAAGGCGCCGCAGGCAGATCACTTTATTCGGTTTGTGATCTGTTCTCAGGCTATGATGAGGTACCGCTTGATCCTAGGGACAGGCACCTCACGGCTATGCACACGCCATTGGGACTGATACAAATGATGGTTGTCCTTATGGGTTGGACTAATGGGGTAGCTGTTTTTCAGAGAGCCATGGTAGCCGTCCTCAAGGACTTCATCCCTGATAAGGTTGAAGTTTTTCTGGATGACTTTCATATTAATGGACCAGTAAACAAGGATGAGACCCAGGTTGCACCAGGAGTTAGAAGATTCGTCGAGCAGCACCTAGCAGATATTTGCGCGGTACTCGAGCAGCTGGACAATGCGAATTTAACGGTCAGCGGGACAAAGAGTCGATGGGCCGTCTTGACTATTAAGATCTTAGGCTTTATCTGTGACTCGAGAGGACGCTGAGCAGATTCGGCAAAGTTAGACAAACTCCTGAACTGGCCGACACCGTTACATAGTCCAACCGAGGTCCGACAGTTTCTGGAAGTGGTCGGTTACTGGCGTATATTCATACGGGGGTATGCGGAGAAGGCTGAGCCATTGAGGTTACTCCTTCGAAAGACCGAAAAATTCTACTGGGATTCCTCGCAGAAACTTGCTTTGCAGGAGCTTAAAGACGAATTTAAGGAGGGAGGACGCGTACTAGGCGTGCCATTCTTTGACGATGAGACCGAGAGACCCTTCATAGTATCCACGGATGCTGGACCGTGTTCTGTAGGTGGATTGCTGTCTCAGAAGGACGCTGAAGGGGAAGAGAGACCGTTGAGATTTGAGAGTACAACACTTACAGTCAATTCACGAAGGAAGTGTTAGCTGTTCTGCGGTGTCTAGATACGTTCGGATACTATATCTATGGCCATCGATTCATCCTGAGAGTAGACCCCACCGCGGTTGCCTCTGTCCTCCAGAAGGATTTTAGCCTGACAGACCCGACCATTGCACGATGATTAATACGGATTCGGCTATATGATTACACAGTAGAGAGGATATCTGGCACTAAAAATACCGTAGCGGATGGGCTCTCTCGGATGCCTCTTGAGGCCGAGCGCCCGATAGTAGCTGGAGCCCTGGCAATGACGGAGCCGAACGCCGAGCGATTTCTGGTTAACCTTACGAAGGCAAATACCGAACGATCGGGTTACATTTGTCAGAGGAGGAGAGTCAAAAATCAGATATCCGGAGACAAGCGGCGCAGTACTGCCTTAGAGCTGGCCATCTATTTCAGAGACCGGTCGGCTCGGGGATGCCCTTACGAGTAGTCTGTGATCCTGAGGAGAGACAGACGATAGTTGTGGAGCTTCACGACGGGGTAGTCGGAGGACATAGGGGAGTCAAAGAAACCTACGAAAAGGTACGCAGGTTGTACTGGTGGGAAGGGCAGTATAAGGACGTCGAGAAGTACTGTATGACCTGCGAGGAATGCCAGAAGAGGAGCTCTTGTGAAATACAAAGAGCCTCTCCATCCATCCTATCCCACCAGACACGGAGAGAAGGTACACATCAATCTGGTGAAGATGCCGAAAGGAATAGGCAATATGAACTACGTCATGAACATACGTAACGATTTCACTGGATTCGTGGACGGTAGACCTATCAAGAGTAAGACAGCGAAGGAAGTGAAGAACTTCGTCTTGGAATACTTATCTAGGTATGGTTGTGTCAGCAAGATAGTGATGGACAGAGGGGCGAAATTTCTAGCTGACGAGGTCCAGAGTGTGTTCAAGAGAGCTAGGGCGAAAGTTTCAATAGCCACAGCCTATCACCCACATTCGAACTCCCCGGTAGAGAGGGGATACCAGACTCTGATAGCGTCACTATCCAAGTGGTGCAAAGGTAAGGACAACGATTGACTGCGATATTTTCGGTACGCAATATGGGCAGACAACGTTACGGTCCGGGCTAGCACAGGATACCCACCATACACCTTGTGGTTTGGGCGGCATTGTTCGCTCCCCATAGAGTTTCACGTCGACAGTTGGACAACCGTCGACTGGGTGGAGGAGATATCCAGAGAGGAACCCATAGCTGCCCGAACAAGACAGATAGCCTATGGTTTGGAAGATAACGTTATGACAGCGGCAGATCGTCTGGCAGTGGAAAGGGACAAAGGTAAAGAGAGATGGGATAAGAACGTGCGAATCAGGAAAGAGAGGGTGAGCGTAGGAGATATGGTCCTTCTCTACGACGCGGCACTCGAGAAGACCTGGACCGGAAAACTCGCCAACAGATGGATGGGACCTTACAGAGTGGTTGAGGCACTCGATTGGGGTGCATATATGATAGCAGAATTAGACGGATCCAAGAGGAAGGACCCAGTGGCAGGTGCTAGGTTAAAGTTGTTTAGACCCAAGCCCGCGCCCATCTTATTGCTGACAAGCCCAAAAGGGAAAGGAAAAGTCGGAATGGAGGACGGAGCCCCCTCGAGGCGATATGAGGCGGGAGAGAGTTCCAAGAAGAGGAAAAGCGTGGAGAAGAGAAAGCTCAAAGAGTTGGCGATGGGAAAGAGGAAGAGATGGTTATTCGTGCTCAGGAGGGCCAGACGGAGAGTTCGTATTAGACAAGCTGATGAGTCGGCACTTATCACGGGCCGACGTCAGAAGAGAGAGCGAATCCTTTCCAGGCCAAATTTTCGAAGAAAAAGGAGAGTAAAAAAGCGTCTTCTTAGCCCAGAACTCATAACGAACTGAAACATAAAACAATTAAACGTCGACGTGGGCGTCCTTTATGGGCAATCACGCTGAAGCTCGTCCGCTTCGTTTGACGTAAATGGATAGGGCTCGACGGGGGCGTCGAGAAGTGGTCCGGGCTAACTGTCAGGCGGCCACAAGCAGTGCGCCGCCTGAAATCTGCAGTTTTGGGACTTAGGCTCAGGGACAAGTCCGTATTTTGATGGTACTCTCGTATGATCAAGCGGCAAAAATTAGAGGAACTCAGGGCACCCCTGATTTGGGCGCACTCAACCTTACGAGTAACCCTCAAAGATGGCGAGATAGGTGGCCGCACTCGGAGCATCTAGGGACCGTCATTTCCGACCGTTCAGAGGGTTAGACCCGGATTAGCCTGCCGCGGAGAGGCATCGCGGGAACTGACTTTGCCGCAATGTTTTTGCGGCATACGACCGGGGCCGAAATGAGGCCTCAAATTTTTGTCTTTTTGGTACTATAATTAAAGATGGGGAAAAGGGATTAAGACCACTAGGGGAGAAGAGAAAAACATAATATCTCTTATTTTCTTTATTTTTCACGACATTTAATTCTAGGGGGAATACCCTTGTTATTTTATGTTCCGGGCAATGGGATTAAAAACATAGAAAAAGATTAAAAATGGTAAAAGAGAAAAGAAACGAAAGGAATTCAGCCATTTATTTAAACTTTCTCGGAATATAATTTTGGGGAACTTACGGTTAATTTACTATTTTCGAAAATAGGATTAAGGAAAGGGAAGAATGATGAAAACCGATGAAGGGGATGGGAACCCATGACTATTGGGAGATTGGCCTAATTTCGCCTCGATTACCCGCCATCAGCTCTGACCCCGGATTGAACATTTTCCCCGGATTTTAACAGTTTCACTACTGCCGATGGTCAAGGTTCCATGCGTCGCTTTCCCTAGTTTGCTTGATTACTAACATTACCGCACTTGGGATGTTCTGAGAGCGGGAGTCGCATGGACAGCATGGGGTGGTGCTACCTTGGATTGACTATGGTGTTTGGTTCGGTACGGATACGAGGGTTGTTACGGAGTGGCTACGTTCTACGGTGTCTGACGTGCTTCAAGTACGGTATGAGCCCGGTGACAGCTGTTTCACTAAGGTGACTTGTTTTCAGGTTCGGGACAGCTGCGGTGATTTATTCTCAAGACCGGGGCCACAACGACAGTTTTTCCAGGTTTGGAACCTTGGGGGCAGTTTGTTTTCARGTCCGGAAACGTTGCGGCATTCTATATCAGGTTAGGGACAGGTACGGAATTATCATGGCATGATTGTACGGGTTCGGCATCCGCGTGGCACAGCAGTCCGGTACTGGATTTCGGGTTTGGTCAGGTTCGGTGGCATCGCGGTGTTTTCGTTTCAGGTTCGACGCCCTCACGGCGATTTATTTCAGGTACGGAACCTCTGCGGTGATTTATTTTCAGGAATGGGACCACTTCACTTCAGGCTCGCAACTACCATGACGCGTTATTTCAGCATTGAGATCACTACGGTGACTTGTTATCAGGTTCGGGACCATTGCAGTGATTCGTTTCCAGGCCCGGAGCCATCATTGGCATTTAATTCAGGTGCGGGATTATCGCAGATACTTAATTCAGATGCGGTGTACTTGCGGAGAATTCTTTCCGGTTCGGCGATGATTCAGAATTGACGTGGCATCGGAATATTTCGGTGGACCGGCATCGGTATGGGCTGCCGCACTCCAGAAGAGTATTCCTGGC